GGGGATCTGGCTATCCGCTTCCCCAACCTGGTGGATCCCTGGACTCCTCATCTGTACGCCCGGTAAGAGATCCCTCAGACACCTCGAGAGTTCACTCTGCAGTCCATTACTGCAGCGAGCCACAGCTCTTCCCCTGACTCGTGGCAGAGTTCAGTATCTGCTGGCTATTCACCTTGTACGAATGAGCTCTAAGTGGACACTGGGAGCTGAAGTAGCCTTCTGAAATCTGCCTACAAGCCTTCCATTGTCCCTGACTCCAGTCTTCAAATCAGAATAGCCTTCGAGCTGCTTCCGGAACAGCATACTGTAGAACAATAGATCCTTACATCGGGCCTTCATGTCGGCCTTAAGGTATAAAGGAGTTCTTGATCTCTGACTAGAGCTTTTATTCCTAGTCTCCGAGACCCAGCTCAGCAAGTGCGGAGGACAGCGGGGCTGGTGATGACGCACTTGATCCTGAAGGACATGGTGAAAGTGAAGGGGCAGGTGAGCGAGATGGCGGTGCTGCTCATCGACCCTGAGCCTCACATCGCTGCTCTGGCCAAGAATTTCTTCAATGAGCTCTCCCACAAGGTGACAGAAGCAGCTTGGAGCTTTCTGCAGAGGAAGTGGGTGGGTCGCACTTTCCGCCCCCATCTCATCTCTCTGGTCTCTTCTACAGGGCAACGCAATCTATAATCTCCTCCCTGATATCATCAGTCGCCTTTCAGACCCAGAGGGTGGGGTGGAGGAGGAGCCCTTCCACACCATCATGAAGTACGGCTTTCTACATAAACTTACAGGGATGTAGTGTGGTATGGGTGGTGTGTGTGCAGCACACAGACTTGGTTAGGAACCAGACATGCTTTTTATCCCAGCTCTGGTTGGCTGGTTGTTGGCTATGATAGGCTAAGAGTGAACAAGAATGAACCCAGGGCCTTGCGTACGATAGACAAGCACTCTTGCCACGGTTTTCGGCCCCAAGTGTCCATTTTAGCTGTACCTTCTCCAAAACAGCTTGGCCCATTTGCCTGTTTCCCTCTCTGAGAGTGCTAGTTCTTGCTTCACAGTTCTCCAGGCTCCCAGATGGGTATGACTCCCAGGTTGTCCACACAGCAGGATGACCAGATAGCAGCTGTTCTTATCTGCATTCTCAGTACATGGAAGGGGACAAGAGGAATGCTGGGAGGCCTTGGCCACGAGCATTCTTCTAAAGCAAGGACAGAAAAGGTGGGGGTGAGAACTTTGCTGGCTAGTCACACACTCCCTCCCACCCCCTCTCAGGCAGCTCCTTTCCTACATCACCAAGGACAAACAGACGGAGAGCCTGGTGGAGAAGCTGTGTCAGCGGTTCCGCACAGCCCGGTATGCTGCCATTTCGGGAGGTCTCTGCCTAGAGGGGCTCTTCAGAGGGACCAAGGGAGACTGACGCGGGAGGACATGTGAACCTCACAGTGTCCATTCCTTGTGCAGAACTGAGCGGCAATACCGGGATCTGGCCTACTGTGTGTCCCAGCTGCCCCTCACAGAGCGAGGCCTCCACAAGATGCTGGACAACTTTGACTGCTTTGGGGATAAGCTGTTAGATGATTCTGTCTTCACTGCTTTTTTGTCAGTCGTGGGTAAACTGCGTCGGTGGGCCAAGCCTGAGGGCAAGGTGAGTGGCATAGGGTCACTGGCCCTACTGGGTTCTAGTGCTGTAAACACAGTCTACCCCCCTGTGTACTTCCTGCCTCGCTAGCCTCAGTACAACCATTTAACCATGGTGACTTGAGGCCAGATCTCTGTCCAATTCCTCGTCCTTTCTCCCGCTCCTGTCCCTTTTTAAAAGGTCTTTTTTTTTTTTAAAGATTTTTTTTTTAAATTTTATGTGTATTAGTGTTTTGCCTATATATGTGTGTGTGTCTGTGTGAAGGTGCCAGATCCCTGGAACTTGAGTTAAGGAAAGTTGTGAGCTGCCGTGTTGGTGCTGGGAACTGAATCCAGGTGTTCTGCAGGAGCAGCAAGTGCTATCTCTCCAGCCCCCAGGAAAAGCCAATTTCTACTTGAGACATTGTCTTTCTGTGTAGCTCTAGCTGACTTAGAATTTGATATGTAGACCAGGCTGGCCTTAAACTCACAGAGATTTCCCTGCCTCTGCCTTTTGAGTGTTGGGATTAAAGGCGTGCCTCCACATGCTTGGCACTAGACTTCTTTTTTAGAGCCGTTTCATGTTAAAGAAAAACTGAGTAAGTAGAGTTTCTGTCTGCTTCTGTCCCAATCCACGTACGTCCTCTACCCATCAGCTCCTTGTCCTCGGTGCTGTGGTCTTACAGTCTCCATTGACCTGCATGAGTGGATATGATTGACAGATGAGTACCCAGGGGCCACAGTTTACACTGACACTGGCTTCCCTAAATACAGTGACTTGTCACTACGGGGTCATACTAGACATTCACTGCCCTCACACTCACTCCTATGGTGCTGCCACTTAGTTGTGCTCTCACCATATAAACAGATAGAGATGCATGATAGATATAGGTCACTTAGAATAAACATTTCAAGTCTGTTTCTTTCACGGCTGTTTTTAAACAGGGAGACAGTATCTCCAGCCCTGTTTTTAACTTAATTTTCCTCTAGTCTACAATTGATGAATTTGAGCAGAAGCTTCGGGCCTGTCACACCAGAGGCATGGATGGAGTAGAGGAGCTTGAAGCTGGCCAAGGAGGCAGCCAGAGAGCCCTGTCTGCCAAGAAACCCTCTGCCGGTATGAGAGGCAAGCCCTCACGGGGCTTCCCACACGCAGTCTCCACCATCTTTTATGTTTTTCCTTTGTGGTTTTTGTTTTTTGAAATCCTGTCTCCCTTCCACCTCTAGTCTCAAGGCAACGGCCTCTGGCTTCTGTAGATTCCGACGATGACTTTGTCACGCCTAAGCCTCGACGCACCAACCGTCCTCGACCAAACACTCAGCAACGGAAGTCCAAGAAGAAAGCCAGAGTTACCTTTTCAAGTGATGAGGCCAGCGAGGACGGTATGACTGCCCTCCTGACAGCCTTGGGGTCTCAGTGGGGCTTGCCTGGGTGTAGTCATTCCTCCTGGTAGTGCCACCCCGCTCTGCAGCCTGGCTGACTTCCGAGGTGTGCTTTGCAGCTCTGGATATGTTTTAAGATTGTTTTGTGCCATCTTGGTGACTCAGTTTTTGTTCCCATGATTCTCTGAATAGAACTTTCAGCAGAGATGACAGAAGAGGAGACACCCAAGAGAACCACCCCCATCCGCAGAGCATCTTCCCGGAGACAGAGGTCCTAGGAGTGGCCTTCACCTATTCCCATCCCTGCTGTGCAGGGTGTCTTGTTGGATGCCTTTGAATTCAGTTCCTCCCTTGTAAAAATGTTTGTTGCCTCTTTGTTTTTAACATGTAAATGGTCTTTGCATTCAGTGTCTTTCTCTGAGAGCCCATCTAATGGCTGCTTTCACTTCCCAAGAGATACTTAACCAATCGTCATGTTTTTTAAGAATAAATGTTTTTATATACTTTTAAGTCCTCTGCTGGTCTGTTTCATCTTTCACCTTCGCCCAGGTTCAGGCAGCAGATTGAGGGTTATCAGTCCAGAGAGAAGATAAGGAAGCCCAGGTACCCTCAGGCTGTCTCTGGATCTTCATGATGCGCATTGCTTCATCTTGCACAACTAGTGAGAGATTCCACTGTAGAGAATTACGTGGTCTAGGTTCGTAGAAGCACCTCTCAGTACCCAAGACAACATTTGACAATACCCAGAGACCTATTTCTATCGCGGCCTTGTGGGACATAGAATAAGCATTCTTTCAACAAAAGCCTTGGGAGGAGCGTGTTGACTAACATCCTTCATACACAGGACACCCCAACACAGTGTGCCAGCAGTGCCAACTTGAAAAATGCTCTAGACCTAAGGATTGTTTCCTCCATGTGCTCCAACCCGGGAGAGATCATGAGCTGTGCCCCCTCCCCCCAGCTCTGTGGGTGGCAAGGTCTACCTCCCCTGTAGGTCCTTCCTTCTCACTATTATGGGTCTGCAGGAGGTCCAGCCCCTCCCTCGGCTGCAAACCCTGCTGTGTGCTGCCCACCCTCCCCAACTCCTTCATCTGCTGAGTCACTTGGAACAGGAAGCACACTGATGTTTCTGCTGCCATGACAACAGCACATTGCCTCTGAAACGGTCCCTACCTCTTATGTGTGTGGTGGGGGAACAGTACTGGCAGATGATAGGCATGAGGAAAAAGGGGAGATGGCTCCTCGGAAACATGCTTTAGGTTAGGGCAGGACTGTGGAGGGGCTCCTGAGACCTGGGGGAATAGGGTCAAAGCCGCTTGTGGAGCCTCTGTTGGAAGAAAGGCAGAAAAAGGACGGGGCTGAAGACGCCTCTGCTCCCCGCACCACGATATGACCACGCCCCCACTCTCCATCGCCCCACCCCCACCCCGTTCTCTAAGCCTGCTCCCTGCTCATGGAAAGCCTGGCCATGGCCCACACAGTTGTCAGTCCTACAGCCTTGGCTCTGGGACCCCAAGGAAGTAGGGCAATCCCAGAAGAGCCAGGAGCCAGGACTGTTATTTGGGGTGCAGTCAGCATGCTCCCTGCCTTTTAAGCAAAGGTTATCACCAGGCCAGCTAAACTTAGCAACTAGGCTCTTCAGCTAGAAGAGCAGGGGGCTGGCTGGTCTCAAGTTGCGCTGGCCTAGTAAAGAGGCCCCAGGATCCCCCTGCCCTGCACCTGTTGGTGTGCTCCCAAGTCCTTCCAAGCGCTCAGAACCCGCCCTTTCCACCCTCCCTACCCTTCAGACTGAGGAATCCCGGGCCGGGGGCCTGTCTGCCTGTTCTGGCTCAGGGCATAATACCGCCCCTTTTAAGTTCTCCCCTCTCTGACCTCACCCGGCGTCCACGAGGGCAGCCAAGGAAGGAGAGAGAGTCCCTGGCTGCAGGGCTAGCAGGCACGTCCCAGGACGGGGAGGGACTTCCGCCCTCACGTCCAGCACTCCACCCTGGGGCTGCCGTGGGTGAAAGGGGCAGTGTCTCAGCCTGGGCGGCAGGTTCCGAGGAAGGACACTATGAAAGGCCTCTTAACCTCCTCCAACCCAACCCACAATCAGGGTACTGCCCTCATCCCGGGGCCCCAACCTAGACCTTAGCTGGGGAACACAGAGGCGTATTTGTGAGTCTCAATGGTCAGGTCTCCAGGCTGCAGGGCATCCCGACCTATGGGGACCGCCCCTTCAGGCCTCTTCCCTTGCTCTCACAGTTCAGTACACAAGCCTGGCCTCTGGCCCAAGAAATGGAAGCCAGGAGGTGGAGGGGAGGTGGAGTGGGGGTGGGACCGCAAATGCGAAGGGCCCCCGCAGGAGGCAAAGGGGCCCCTCCCGGGCCTTTTCTTCAGCTTTGCTGCTTTAGTCTGTGTCACTACCGAAAAACAACGAGAAGATCCTCAACTTTTCCGCAGCCTTTTCAAAAAGAGGAGAGGGTCGATGGTGCAGCTGTGGGCAGACCCACACTTCTGCTCTATTTCCCCCGTTCCTGCAGCTCCCAAGGTCCTCCCACTTTTTTCCAGGGACAACTTTCAGGTCTCTGGGTCCTGGATGTCCTGGGTGCACACTCCACGTCCTTAAGTCCATAGTCTATATTCCCTCCGTCTTATCCTGGGACCCATCACCGGGTCACCTCCCCAGCGAAGCAATCTCAGTTCCCCTCCCCCTCTCAGCCCCGAGCCCACACGTTTAGTGCGTGCACATTTCAAAAACGAGGCGGGTCCAAAGAGAGGGGGTTGGGAGGAAACGAGAGAGGCCCAGCTACTCGCGGCTTTACGGGTGCACGTACCTCAGGCCTCAGCGCCCTTGTGCTGGGACTGGTTGAACGGGGCGGGAGGCGGGGCGCGCGTCATCAGCTCCCTCCCCCGCTCCGGTTTCTATAAATACTGACTGCAGCCCTCCCCGGTGCTCTCTGCTCCTGCCTGTTCTAGAGACAGCCGCTTCTTTTCGCGCAGTGCCAGGTGAAAAACGCGGAGTGGGCCCCAAAAGGCCTGGAACGGTCGGAAACCGGGAAGGGGGTGCGCGCTGTCCGGGTCTGGGAGCGCTGGTGCGAGCTCCGCTGTCCGAGCCGGAACTCCGCATTGCAGGGGCTGGAGGAAGACGTGATGGGGCGAGCGGCGGGAATGGTGGCGGGTAGGGGGAGGTCGCCTGGTGCACCAGGCCACGCTGATCTCACTTTCTTCTTCCGCAGCCTCTTTCCAGAGACACGATGGTGAAGGTCGGAGTGAACGGGTGAGTTCGGGGCTGGGCTAGGGTGGGGCTCCGGACCCCACTCCGTTCCTTACGCAGGTCTACCTGACCCGGGGACTTTGCAGTAGTGTGGGGAGGTGGAAAGGTGGCCTTAGCACCCAAGGAGACCTCAAGGTCAGCGATCTGACCGGACGAAGGCTCCGGCTCCGCCCTTGCGGGGGGGGGGGGATGAGCAGCCGGGAGTCCTCACTAGGAGGACCACCCCCCGCGCGCACGCCTGCTCAGGATCCATCCCCTAATCCCCTGGCTGGGGCTTCTTTCTTTACTTTCGCGCCCTGAGTAGTCACGTGTCTGAGGGGAGCCCCTCCCCCCATCACCCCCTTCCTCCTGTTTGGTGGCAAGGGGATGTGAGGTTCGCCTTTCTTGGCGCATCATCTCCCAAGGGCTTGGCTTCCCTTAGAGTAACTGGCCGCCGCCATGTTGCAAACGGGAAGGAAATGAATGAACCACCGTTAGGAAACCATCCTCGGGCCTTCCTCCTTTCTAGCTTATGACTAACCTTCCCACTCCCTCTTGCCGGGTGGAGTCACCTCTATCCTGTGAGCCAGGTGATGCAAGGCTTCCGTGCTCTCGGGAGAGCTCTGCCTCCAAGCAGCCTGATTCTCCTCGGGCTTAGGATGCATTTTCTAGATTGTTCTTTGAGAATCTAAGCAGAATTAGGTCCGCTTGTCCTTCTCCCAGCTCCAAAGGTGTGGTAGCGATGGCGTAGTGCGGGGGGGGGGGGGAGCGGTGGATGAGTCATGGTGGTTCCGAAGAGAAAATTTCCACCAGAAAAAGGCTCCGGAGCTGGCAGCCCCTTCCCCCCCATAACCTCGACTTCCCAAACCCTATAGGCCAGACTGTAAAGGTCACTAAGCGGATTGGGTGTCTCTGAGCCTGGGGATCCTGCCCTTCTCCCCATTCCATCCTCCAGAAACCAGATCTCCCCACTCCACCCTAATCGGAGGTTAAATTTAGCCGACTGACCTTTCTGTATCTGGGGTCTGGGCTCTTCCACCCTGTTGGCCCCCACACACATCTGTTGCTCCTGCTTCTGATTTTTAACTAGCAAAGACAGGTGCTGGGATTAGGGGTTTTAGCCCTGTGGTTTTCTCGGTCTCTTTCCCTTTAGGAGGAGGGGCTTGGAGGAAGCAGATGGGCTGACCCTGTGCTGTTCATTCTGACCTTTAACCTTGCCCTTTGAGCTTGGTGATGCTGAGTGCACAAGTCCTTCCTGTCCAGGGGTGTAGCCTGAGGCCAGGCCAGGCTAGAACAAACTTCCCAGAGCCTGCTGGGTAGTGGGGGTGATGAATTGCCATGTGCCAGGCTTGTGCCCAGACTGGAGTATAAGGAGGGGGGGGTGTTGGACAAGGCTTTGAGGCTGATTTCACAGGAAAGAAAGCTCCACTTTATGGCTGTGCTGTAAAAGCCCAACCAGCCCTCAGCTGCTCATGGAAAATAAAATTAGGCCTCGTGGGGCTTCCTAAGGATGCACGTGCCCTATATTTGGGTTCTACATCTGAGTATTCTACCAGCTTTATTAAAGGAAATTTTAAACAAAACTTGAATTTCCTGCTTCTTACATTCCAATACTGTACTGAACCTGCACAGAAAAAGCCGTGCCTTTGTTCTTAGAGCCACACAGTGGGCCGGGGTTTCTTCGAGTATTCGTTGACCCAGCGCTGGCTGGAGACCCCTGACACTCCCCTTGTTTTCTTGCCTCAGATTTGGCCGTATTGGACGCCTGGTTACCAGGGCCGCCTTCACTTCTGGCAAAGTGGAGGTTGTTGCCATCAATGACCCTTTCATTGACCTCAACTACATGGTGGGTGCTGCTCCTGCAGGTGATAGGGGGAGGAGGGAACCGTCTGCTGAACCAGTCCCTGATGCCCATGCTTGTTTCCCCAGGTCTACATGTTCCAGTATGACTCCACCCATGGCAAGTTCAAAGGCACAGTTAAGGCTGAGAATGGGAAGCTTGTCATCAACGGGAAGGCCATCACCATCTTCCAGGAGCGAGATCCCGCCAACATCAAATGGGGCGATGCCGGCGCCGAGTATGTTGTGGAGTCTACTGGTGTCTTCACCACCATGGAGAAGGCTGGGGTAGGTGCCTACTAGGCTGGAGATGAGGGGAACCCTGCAATTTGGTGCCTAAAAATTAGGAAGAACCGAGTCTGAAACCAACTTTCTCTTACACAGGCCCACTTGAAGGGTGGGGCCAAGAGGGTCATCATCTCCGCCCCTTCTGCCGATGCCCCCATGTTTGTGATGGGTGTGAACCATGACAAATATGACAATTCCCTCAAGATTGTCAGCAACGCTTCCTGCACCACCAACTGCTTAGCCCCCTTGGCCAAGGTCATCCATGACAACTTTGGCATCGTGGAAGGACTCATGGTACGTAGTTTATTTGTTTCACTCTGCTGGCAGTGGAGCCTTCTGTGGGTGCCCTGCAAGACCTCACTTACTCCATGTTTTCCAGACCACAGTCCATGCCATCACGGCCACCCAGAAGACTGTGGATGGCCCCTCTGGGAAGCTGTGGCGAGACGGCCGTGGCGCTGCCCAGAACATCATCCCTGCGTCCACTGGCGCTGCCAAGGCTGTGGGCAAAGTCATCCCAGAGCTGAATGGGAAGCTCACGGGCATGGCCTTCCGAGTTCCTACCCCCAATGTGTCCGTCGTCGATCTGACTTGCCGCCTGGAGAAAGCTGTATGTCTGCGGTGGGCCGGGGGTTGTCGGCTGACTGTAGCGGTGAGGTTGGGGCTTGTAGTCACCTTGATTTTTGCTCTCAACAGGCCAAGTATGACGACATCAAGAAGGTGGTGAAGCAGGCATCCGAGGGCCCACTAAAGGGCATCCTGGGCTACACTGAGGACCAGGTCGTCTCCTGTGACTTTAACAGTGACTCCCACTCTTCCACCTTCGATGCTGGGGCTGGCATTGCTCTCAATGACAACTTTGTAAAGCTCATTTCCTGGTATGTGGGGATCAGAAACGGGCAAAGCAATGGCACCCCTGGTAGCCAGCCCAGAGAGTAACTCTCTAACTGACTGTCTTCCCAATGTGCTCCAGGTACGACAATGAATTCGGCTACAGCAACAGAGTGGTGGACCTCATGGCCTACATGGCCTCCAAGGAGTAAGAAGCCCGCCCTGGACCACCCATCCCAGCAAGGACACAGCAAGAGAGAGGTCCTCGGCTGCTGAGCAGTCCCTGTCCTAACTAACCCTTGACACTAAGCATCTCCCTCACAGTTTCCATCCCAGACCCCCAGAATAGCAGGAGGGGGCTTAGGGAGCCCTACTCTCTTGAATACCATCAATAAAGTTCATTGCACCCCTCTTCCTTTGGTATTCTAAATAAATACAGGGTCGGGGGAAGGAGGCAATGTTGGGAAAGTTTCAGTCTTATTGTGCATATGGCTGTCGCTTGTCACATAGGGTGCTGCAGGGTCCAAAGCTACCGGCTAGTCACATGCCAGCCCAGGTGGCCCTTCCTGAGGTGTCTGGCACAGTCAGGGTGGGGCTTGACAATGGAACCATAGGGTAGGGTCTGGCCTGAGTTTCAGGGCTGTGTGTGCCTTTTATCAGCAAAGGTCAGTTGTACCTGGCTCTCCAAACATTAGGTGAAATTGGAAGGGTGCCCAATACAGTAAGAATGTATCAGTCAGGGGAGCCTCACACAGCTGAGCTGGATATGTGCCAGGAGTCTCATGACGCCCTCTGGTGGACACTTGAGGGTGCTTTGGTTCCGAGGCAGTGAGTGGCTTGTATCCAGCACCTCGTTCCGTTTAATGAAGATCTCAACATCAGGCCTCTGGTGGGACAGTGGTGGCCCATACCTTTAATCCCAACAATCCCAGCACTGGAGTGGCGGAGGCGGGAGAATCTCTTAAATTCAAGGGCATCCTGTGTTGTTAGCAGAAACCTTGTCTCAAAAAATCAAAGTGCTTAAAACAGCAACACGAAGTGCTCAATAAATATCCCTCATTAGTTGATTCCACGGCCTCCCCTGTTTTCCAAGGTCAAGAACGTCTTAACCTGTGGGTTTTGTGAGACCCTCCCTCAGCTGATCCCTGGAGAGGTGTGTCCAACTACACCTGCGTGCAGGCCAGGCCGGGCTTCACCTTCGCCTCTGAGCAGAGTCTGCCTCCTGGACCCCCTCTCAGCTCAGGCACGAGTTCACTTCCCAAGGCCAGGTGCCCTGCCTCCCTCTGAGGCCTTACTGGTAAAGTAGAGCCTCCTCCAGATGTACAGGATGTAGGAACCCTCAGCAACTCCCAGATGAACCTGCTTCACACAGCCTGGGCCAGTTAGCACCAGTACCAAAGTCCAAGATACCCCAGGAGAACAGGCAGGGCCCAGAATTGCATTCCTTACAAAATGGGGAAGGGAGGATCACAAGTGGTCTGGCAGCATTTCAAAGATGGACAAGTAGCAAACAGCCACAAGTGAAGAAGGCAGGAGTGTCCCCACTGAGGAGAGCTGTCCAGGAAGGGTGGGGTCAAGCCTAGCTCCAGATACCCCGGGAACCCTGGGGAGGAGAGAGCTCAGGGCCAGGCTTCCTGCAGCGGCACACCCCCACCCCTGCCTCAGTGAGCTCGGGGGAGTCAGGCAGTGGCCCCTATCTCATGGAGCTATCAGATGAGACATCACGATCGGAGTCCTCAGTTTCGCTTGGCGGTGGCGGCGGGTCGCTAACCGGGACCGCAGTGAAAGCAGGAGACTTTCTAGAAAAAAACACCAGATGTCACCTTGGAGCAAGCAGGAAGCCTAAGGAGGCTTGCCTGCTCTCCAGCTCATGGCCTTATCTTTTGGGAGGCAGCAGCTGGATGCCAGGCAGGGAAGCGGAGTGAGAAGACTCGTCCCTATTCACCTTGATGGGGAACAGCTCCCTTCTTAGAGGCTCTGAGAGGCTTGGAGATCAGAAAAGTCTCAGGTCCCAGCACAGAGCCCATACTTGCTGACACTAGTGCCCAGCCTCTTGCCCAGCTGTAATGGGGGTGGGGAGACAGATATCTCACTTTTGCCAAGACTGAACCCAAACTCCTGGGTGCAAGCAATCTTTTTGCCTCCAAAGTAGCTGGGATGACAAGCAAAGGCCACTGAGTGTGTGAGTAAGCACACACACTGTGCCCGGTTTACTGTAATTCGGGGGAGTGGGCTGGGGTTTTTGATTTCTTTGAGACAGAGTCTCAGTATCCATCCCTTGCTGGCCTGGAACTCTATATAGAGGGGAGAGTGGCCTAGTACTTGTGGCAATCCACCTGCCTGGGACGCCTATGCACCACCACACCTGACTGACTGTGGTTACTTAGGGTAGGCCTGATCGTTACTGTTGCTTTTCGTTTCCTTTAGTTTGAGACAAGGTTTTGCTACTGTGGTCCAGGTCAGCCCGCGTGACAATCTTTCTGCCTCAACCCTTCCAAGACTGGGACTGCAGACGTGGGCCACGTTACAGATTTATTTTTCTTTTCTTTTTATTGAGCTCTACATTTTTCTCTGCTCCCCTCCCTGCCTCTCCCCTTCAGCCCTCCCCCAAGGTCCCCACCCTCCCAATTTACTCAGGAGATCTTGTCTTTTTCTACTTCCCATGTAGATTAGATCTATGTTAGAAGTCTCTCTTAGTGTCCTCATTGTTGTCTAAGTTCTCTGGGATTGTGGTTTGTAGGCTGGTTTTTCTTTGCTTTATGTTTAAAAACCACCTATAAGTGAGTACCTGTGATAATTGATGGGGGGAGATTTATTTTTTATAGAATTTATTTTTGTGTTCATTGGTGTTGGCCTACATGAATGTCTGTGTGAAGGTGTCGGAAGTCCTGCCTGGAACTGGAGTTACTGACAGCTGTGAGTGTCATGTGGATGTTGGGAACTGAACCCAAGTCCTCTGAAAGAGGAGTCAGTGCTCTTAACCAGTGACCCCTCTCCGGCTTCCATATTTTTTTAAATTCTCTCCCTCTCTCTCTCTCTCCTTCTCTCTCTCTCTCCCTTTCTGTGTGTGTGTGTGTGTGTGTGTGTGTGTGTGTGTGTGTGTGTGTGTGCATGCACAAGGCCTCAGGCAGGCTACATAAGTACTCTACAACTGAGCTATATCCCCCAAACCCAAATTTACTCGTACATAAGGTCAAGTACACAAATCATGATTCTGGCTCTGCATAAAAACCTGCCTCTGTATCTCTTCCTTCCTGGCCAGGTTTTGGCTCTCAGACACTCAGAGTTGGGGCACTGGTAGGCTTCATCTGACCACCAGAGCAGGGAGAGGAAGCTATCAATCCGGGCCACACCTACAGGTGACCCAGTCACTGCCCACAGGCCATCAGGGCTCTATTCCACCCTTCTTTCCTGGGTGACGGGTGGGGGGCGAGCGGGTGGGGGGTGAGCGGGTGGGCGGGCCCCATCAGGGCAGCTCCTTACCGGTCCCCTGACTGTGTGATGAGCCGGCGGCAGGTCTCCATCTGCACATCCAGGCCCCGCTTCATGCTGCACATCTCCATATACTCATGCAGGTGGCGGTTCATGTCATTTTTGGCTGTGGCCAGCTCCAGCTGCAGTCAAGTAGGGCAGGGCGGGATGAGGAGGTTAGCGAGCCCAGGGCAGACGGGATTAGAGCGCCAGCTGGGCCCCCGGATGGGGCAGTCACACAGGTGGCAGAAAGCATCAAGTACACCACAACTGCCTTCTTCCCACCTGGGGGGCGGGGCAGCTACTGGCAATCTAACTCCAGACCCTCACTCTGGCTAGGCGAAGGCACGCGGGACGGTGCTCCGCGCTCACCCCTGTCCCGGGGATCTCTACTCTCGCTCCCACTCCCAGAGTCAGATGTCTCAGTTCTTTCTAAGGGAGCAATAAGAACAGTGAGCACTTCCGTAGCTCCACCCTCGGCAGCCAAGGCAGGAGGACCTTGATTTCAAGGGCAGTTTCATTGTAAACCTAAGACCTAAATAGTAAAACCTGGTCTCAAAAAGGGGAAAGAAGCTGAGCAAGGTGGTGGAGCACACCTTTAAGCCCAGCACTCGGGAGGCAGAGGCAGGCAGATCTCTGAGAGTTGGAGGCCAGCCTGGTCTACAGAGCTAGTTCCAGGACAGCCTTAGCTGTAACACAAAGAAACCCTGTCTCGAAAAACCAAAAGAAACAAACTAAAACCAAAGAAAGAAAACAATGGGGGTGGCGGGGACACGGGACAGGACTAGCCAGGCGCTCAGCGGATAAGGCACCTGCTGCTCAGGCCTGGCAATCTGAATTTGATACCAGGGACCCGTAGGGTAGAAGGACAGAATGAAGTCCATATTGCTCTTTGACCTCCACACATGCACCATGGCATGCAGACACGGACATATAATAATAATAATAAATTTAATTTTTAAAAAAGCATTAATAGGTGTGGAGAGGCTTGCAGAGTAGCTCAGTTGGCAGTGTGCTTGCCTTGCTCGCAACAAAACCAAAGGTTTGGTCCCCAGCACATTAAACTGGACCTGGTGACATGTGTCTGCAATCCCAGCTAGGGAGGTGAAGACAGGAGGATCAGAAGTTGAGGATCAGCCTGGTCTATAGCAAGTTTGAGGCCAGCTTGAACCACAGGCGAGGCTGTCTCAAAAAAAAAAAAAAACAAAAGAGTCTGGAGATGTACCGCTGGAGAGAAGTTGCCTCTGTTAGCGCTAATTCACTGTGGAGTGGCCCAGAGTCACCACAGTGGAGCAAGGCTGGCTTGTGCTTAGAGCGTTCAGTCCATTTCGTTTCTCACTCATAAATAACCCACTCCCCCCCAACAGGAGAGACATCCACACTGAGTGATTACAAGATCTATCTTGATTTCAGAAGTTTCGCACGGAAGAAATGGGATACCTGCACCAAGAAAAATCTCCCTCCCGGAGCTGCCTTAGCAGCCAGTTTTGGAGGCAGAGGAAAAGTGAGCTGAGGCGGAAAAGAATCTAGGCCAGAGACAAATCTGCTGCCTCTCTTTGTTGTGTGTGCAAAGGCCAGCTTGGCTGCCTGGGAGCCAAAGGAAGGCAGAAGAACGGCCGTGAGGCATGCGAATAAGGAGTGGGGAAGCCACCCGCAACAAATGCAAACGGGCCAGAGGGTGGGAATGGGCAGGAGCAGACAAAGGGGCAGCCAGGACACTGGCATTCTGGGTCATCTAGTGGACAGCTGGCTTGAAAGGCGTGCTTGTTCCCACAGGAGTCTGTGTACCAGTGAGAAAAATACGATACTCCAGGTCAGAGGTCAGCTGCCCTGTACACACTCGTGCATGCGCGCACGTTCTCTCTCTCCCTCCTTCCCCAGGAAGACTGCAGGGGATAAGGCTAGAACCCATTCTTCTAGGCAACGGAAGTGAAGCACAAATG